GGAGGTTGTGTAGGATGTGGAAAGGGTGGTGTGGGTGGGGGCTGGTGTAGGGTGTGGAGGAGGTGTAGGATGTGAGGATGTGTGTAGGAGGTGGGGGCTGGTGTAGGGTGTGGAGGGTGGTGTGGATGTGAGGATGGTGTAGGGTGTGGAGGCTGTGTAGAATGTGGGGGATGGTGTAGGAGGGGGCTGGTGTTAAAGGGGGTTGAGGCTGGTGTAGGATGTGAGGATGTGTAGAGGTGGGGGCTGTGTAGGGTGTGGAGGCTGGTGTAGGATTGGAGGATGGTGTAGGAGGTGGAGGCTGGTGTAGGATGTGGAGGATGGTGTAGGGTTGGGAGGATGGTGTAGGGGTGAGGGTGTGGTAAGGAGGTGGGGGGTGGTTGAGGGTGTGGAGGGTGGTGTAGGAGGTGGAGGATGGTGTAGGGTGTGGAGGGTGGTGTAGGATGTGGAGGATGGTGTAGGGTGTGGAGGCTGGTGTAGGAGGTGGAGGATGGTGAGGGTGTGGAGGCTGGTGTAGGATGTGGAGGATGGTGTTTGGTGTTTGGGGGCTGGTGTAGGGTGGTGAGGATGGTGTAGAGGTGGGGGCTGGTTAGGGGTGGAGGCGGTGTAGGAGGTGGGGCTGGTGTAGGAGGTGGGGGCTGGTGTAGGAGGTGGGGGATGGGTAGGATGTGGAGGCTGGTGTAGGGTGTGGAGAATGGGGTTAGGACGTGGGGGCTGGTTTTAGGAGGTGGGGGGTGGTGTAGGGGGTGGGGGATGGTGTAGGATGTGAGGCTGGTGTAGGGGTGAGTATGGTTTTAGGATGTGGAGGATGGTATAGGGTGTGATGCTGGTGTAGGGTGTGGAGGATGGTGTAGGAGGTGGGCTGGTGTAGGTGGGGGCGGTGTAGGAAAGGGGGGTAGTGTAGGATGTGGAGAGCTGGTGTAGGGTTGGGGGATGGTGGGAGGAGTGGAGGATGGTGTAGGGTGGAGGCTGGTGTAGGGTGTGGAGGATGGTGTAGGGGGAGGTTGGGTAGGGTGTGGGGGGCTGGTGTAGGGTTGTGGAGGATGGGGTAGGATGTGGGGGATGGTGTAGGGTGTGGAGGGGGCGTAGGATGTTTGGGGGATGGTGTAGGATGTGGAGGAGGTGAAGGAGGTGGGGGCTGGTGTAGGAGGTGGGGGCTGGTGTAGGGGGTGGAGGCTGGTGTAGGGGTTGGAGGATGGTGTAGGGTGTGGAGGATGTGTAGGATGTGGAGGGGGTGTAGGAGGTGGGGCTGTGTAGGGTGTGGGGGCTGGTGTAGGATGTGGAGGATGGTGTAGGATGGGAGGATGGTGTAGGAGGTGGGGGGTGGTGTAGATGTGGAGGTTGGTGTAGGATGTGGAGATGGTGTAGGAGGTGGGGGCGGGTGTAGGGTGTGGAGGGTGGGGTAAGGGTGTGGAGGATGGTGTAGGTGGGGCTGGTGTAGGAGTGGAGGTTGGTGTAGGGTGTGGAGGATGGTGTAGGAGGTGTGGGCTGGTGGAGGATGGTGTAGGGTGTGGAGGGTGGTGTAGGATGTGAAGGATGGTGTAGGAGTGGAGGATGATGTAGGTGGGGGCTGTGTAGGGTGTGGAGGCTGGTGTAGGGTGTGGAGGCTTGTGTATGGTGTGCAGGCTGGTGTACGACGTGGGGGCTGGTGTAGCATGTATAGGCGGTGCAGAATGTGGGGGCTGGTGTGGAACGTGTGTGCTGGTGTAGGGTGTGGAGGCTGGTGTAGGATGTATAGGCTGGTGTAGGGTGTGGAGGCTGGTGTAGATGTGGAGGCTGGTGTAGGGTGTATAGCTGGTGCAGGACTTGGGGGGGGTGGTGTAGGGTGTGGAGGCTGGTGTAGGAGTATAGGCTGGTGTAGGGTGTGGAGTCTGGTGTAAAGTGTGGAGGCTGGTGTAGGATGTATAGGCTAGTGTAGGAAGTTGGGGCTTGTGTAGGGTGTGGAGGCTGGTGTATTGTGTGAGGCTGGTGTAGGATGTATAGGCTGGTGTAGGACGTGGGGGCTGGTGTAGGGTGTGGAGGCTGGTGTAGGGTGTGGAGGCAAATGTAGGGTGTGGAGGCTGGTGTAGGATGTGGAGGCTGGTATAGGGTGTGGAATCGGTGTAGGATGTGGAGGCTGGTGTAGGGTGTGGAGGCAGATGTAGGGTGTGGAGGCTGGTGTAAGATGTGGAGGCTGGTGCAGGGTGGGAGGCTTGTGTAGAGTGTGGAGGCAGGTGTATGGTGTGGAGGCTGGTGCAGGTGTGGAGGCTTGTGTAGAGTGTGGAGGCAGGTGTATGGTGTGTAGACTGGTGCAGGGTGTGGAGGCTGTGTAAGTGTGGATGTAGGTGTATGGTGTGGAGGCTGGCGCAGGGTGTGGAGGCTTGTGTAGAGTGTGGAGGCAGGTGTAATGGTTGGAGGCTGGTGCAGGTGTGGAGGCTTGTGTAGAGTGTGGAGGTAGGTGTATGGTGTGGAGGCTGGTGCAGGGTGTGGAGGCTTGTGTAGAGTGTGGAGGTAGGTGTATGGTGTGGAGGCTGGTGCAGGGTGTGGAGGCTTGTGTAGAGTGTGGAGGTAGGTGTATGGTGTGGAGGCTGGTGCAGGTGTGGATGGCTTGTGTAGATGTGGAGGTAGGTAGTATGGTGTGGAGGCTGGTGCAGGGTGTGGAGGCTTGTGTAGAGTGTGGAGGTAGGTGTATGGTGTGGAGGCTGGTCTAGGGTGTAGACGCTTTTGTCTAGCATGACAGCTGACCACAATACCTGTTGTTTCTTCCTGGTGCTGCCGGGTTTTCCAGGATACGAAGCACTTCCGTTCGTCTCTGCCTGTCTGCGCTCTTCTCCCTTGTCCTTGTGTGTACGTTTCACTTTTGTTCGTGTACAAGTGTATCTCTTCCTTCGCCTACACATGTGTGCACGCAGTATTCGTGTACATATGTGTTGGTTTTGCATTTAAGTACAGCATTGTATCTGTCAGCACTTGACTTCTGTGACACGTTGACAGGATAGGTAGGGTTATGCTGCGCCATAATTTAACAAAACAAGATTCCTGGGTTTTGTTGCAAAGTTAAAAATAATCTTACCATGTTAATTCAGGTTGCCTGTTGTTGTCTGGTGGTTACGAGATTGCTGTTGTTCTTTTGTGTAGTAGTCAGACTCCTCCTTAAAACCTTTATTTACATCTGACGCATCTCCGGGGTGTCTGATGTCTCTCTCTCTCTCTCTCTCTCTCTCTCTCTCTCTCTCTCTCTCTCTCTCTCTCTCTCTCTCTCTCTCTCTCTCTCTCTCTCTCTCTCTCTCTCTCCTGCTCTCCTCTCTGTCTCCCCCTGCTCTCTCTCTGTCTCTCTCCCCTCTCTCTCTCTCCTCTCTCTCTCTCTCTCTCTCTCTCTCTCTCTATGTGTCATGTATCATCATATCAAGTAAGCGCATGATATAAATTTTTCAGGCTCCTGAAGTTTTTTTTTTAATTATGTTACGATTATTAAAATGTGCAATTTATATTAATTAGTAAACAAATAAGCTACCGTAGATTCTTATCTGCATGTATACCGAACCATCAAACATATGTATACAAAACTATTCTTTGTGTTGTACGTGAATGGTATAAAATACCGAGAAGATGAAAAATTAGACGCATTTTCAGCTTCTGGATATCTTTATATATTTAGACGGGAACGTCTACAGATAAAGATACCCAGATGTTGCACATGTGTCTAATTCTTTGCATTATTTATCATATAGATAGTACCTTTAAAAAGGGTAATTAAAAGTTGATGCTACTGCTCATATATATATATAATATATATATATATATATAATATAAAATATATATATATATATATATATATATGTATACACACACACACTTTTTTGGGCTAAGATAATGATTTACACATGCTGGTTGGGTACATGTCAAGTACCACGTTTCTTGACAGTGGCTGTGTACCATCATTCATGGCAGCTTCCACGTATCTTAATTCCTGGCAGTTTCCACGTGCCGTCATTCCTGACAGTTTCCACGTGCCGTCATTCCTGACAGTTTCCACGTGCCATTATTCCTGACAGTTTCCACGTACCGTCATTCCTGACAGTTTCCACGTGCCATTATTCCTGACAGTTTCCACGTACCATCATTCCTGAGAGTTTCCACGTACCATCATTCCTGACAGTTTCCACATACAATAATTCCTGACATTGTATTATTACCATAATTCCAGATATCGTACACACGCCACAATATGCGACATAAAAACTTGTCCGAGAGTAAAGTCCTGTATGAGAGATGTATCCTGTGTACGTATTAGGAAATAACTTGATTAGTTCCGTAGTCTTCGAGACCATAATAAACACACTCACAAACACACCTCCTACAGTGTGTGTATATTATATATATATATATAATATATATATAAAATTATATATATATATATATAAAACTCAGAATATGATTGGATTATATATTTCGAACCCTGGTAGGCCCTCTCTCTCTCTCTCTCTCTCTGTCTTCCTATATATATATATATATATATATATATATATATATATATATATATATATATATATATATATATATAATATAATATATATATATTATATATTGTGTGTGTGTTTTGTGTGTGTGGTGTGTGTGTGTTGTGTGTGTGTGTGTGTGATGTACCCGTTAATGGGGGAGGAGGAGGGAAGGGGTAAGACAGAAGAGGGGATGGAGGGCGCGGGGCTGATCATGGCGCGCGACCTTGAGCTCCCCTCCTGAACTGCAATCCCCCCCATCCCCTTCTTCATCCCCCACTCCCCCTTCTCTCTCTACCGCTGTGGGATCACTCTCACTGTAGCGTTGCTGTCACTACTAACCCCGACATTCTCTCCCTCCGGTAATGTGCCCTAGTTGTACCTGGCCTTCTGTACCACGGTAGCAAGTGGATGTCCTCCCTTCTCCTTTTTTCCCCCTCTCTGTACCACGCCCCCATACCCACATGTCCTCTCCCCCCCGGCGTCAGTCTCCGCCCTTCCCCCCGGCGGACGGGCGTGAGGTGGGAGCGTAGAGCGGTGGAGGGGCGTCACTCGGCCGTCAGCCGCAGCCCAGACCAGCCGCACCTCCTAAGACAGGCTCTAGACACGCTCAGGAGTGCCGCCGTGGTAGCCTGAGACTAACACCAGCACCCCGTGTCACAGAGTTGCTAACCTCACCCAAGTTCTTCTCTGTCCTGGCCAGTGTTTCTCACAAGTTGCCTCTCAAGCCCACGAGGAAAGCTCACCACGCCGATCAGGAGCCTGTCTAGCGGTTATACTACAAAGTTCTGTGTAAATCTGAAAGTCTTCAAGTTTAATATTCTCTGTTCTGTGTTCTTCCTTAGACAACTTCATATTGTCAACAACTTTTCTCTGCCGAAACTAAGACTACCTTTTCTATCTTCTCGAATTGCTCAAGTCCCTCTGCCCTACCCTGTTACCTGTACAAGACATTCCTATCAAGACGCATTAGGCATCACCCGGCACGGTAGCAGTGTCCACGGAAGAAGTAAGACAAGCAGTAGGAGCAGCATCAGGTTCGTGACGTGGACAGCGAACATCTGGGTCATCCCGTGGTGATCACAGCATCCCTGTGGTAGCCTGGCAGCGCAGCAGCCGTCCTCACTACAAGTGTTACACAAGTGGTAGGCTGCGGCAGCTGACCTCCGGCAGCAAGTGGCGACTCTCGTGACGCGGCCAACTTTCACGTGAAGCAACGTGTGGGTTTCATCACTGGGACAAGAGCGAGTCTGCCTCTTATACCCGGCCGCGCAGGACAGTGGCTCACTGCGGTGCCCAGCCGGCAGGCGTCCAGCCACACGCCCCCGCTGCTCACCTCCCTCAGGAAAGTGAAAGTAAGGAGAGCAGTCGAGCCAGCCCACGCCCCCAGTCTTCGAGGAGTGTGAAACAAGAGAAACAGTCGTCCTCCACTGGTGTGAAGTCAGCGTGAAGGAGAATCACACCCTGCTGTCTACTTTGACGCTTGGCTTAGCACCACAACCTCCAGCATCAAGCCACCGACTACAACCTGTGTCAATAGAAAGTGTTTGAGCGCCAGAGGTATCAGTAAGGCGCGCCGTTAGTGTGTGTGGAACCAGTGAAGGGAGTGGAGTGTCCCAAGGAGTGAGAACGATAAGTGTTTACGGTTAGTGTCAGTGATATATTTGCCCTACGTGTTCACCATTCTAGTGATACAGTGTTACCACCATGCCCGCCTTCCAAGGAACCAAAGTTGCGTTTCATCCAGAGATGCACATGATGCATAACCCTCGCGCTCGGGAGATGCTCTACGCTCGGGGCAAAGCTTCCCCCATGGTGCACCCTATGTTCGACGCACTCAAGACCCGTCACGCCCAAGATAAGCACGACTACGCTCGCATGATGAAGTTGCGGGACCTGAAGAAGATGGCTGGAGAGTGTGGATATCCCACCTTTGACAGTCTGAAGCTTCTGGGAGCAGAAAACGACGCTAACTACCTGGACGTCTTCATGAGTGACGGCACGAGGCCGCGCATGCGCAGCAACTCCCACACTTCCAAAGGCAGTAGCAAACGCAACAGTAATGTCGACGTGGAAAATATTAAGAAGACCTTATTGGGTAGTCTTCGTTCTGCCGCCAGCGACGAGAACATCTACGAGTCTGTGGAAGTTATTCAGTACCGGAAAACTGTTGAAGCCATAAGTCGCCAGAATAAGGTGCGCTCAGTGCCAAAGACTGGTCACCCTCTGTTCGACCACCTGAGGGTGGAGAACGTGTTGAAGCCCCGCCGTCAGCATTCTGGCGAGCACCACCAACATCATCACCACCATCACCGTCGCAGCGAAACTCACAACAGCGACGGTGGCAGCAACAGCCACAGCTCTTCGGGATCTGGGGATGAGTTCGACTACGCGAAAAAGCCCAACTGTCGCTTTTCTCGCCGCGAGGTGCTGATGACTTCGCAGACGCTCAAGAAACACCCGAAGGAGGCGCGCCCCCAGAAACATTCCAGAGAGCAAGTGGCAGAAGCTGGCTCTGAATCTGACGATGACTGGGCGATTCCAAGACCCAAGATTTGCGGACGCAACCGACGGACGGGTGCTACGGGCCTCATGAACACCGTCGGTCAGGATGAGTCCGATAGCTCAAGTAAGTCGACGGGTCTTCGGTGACGCACACGCCCATCCTTCGCACCGCCCACGCTGTAGACGCCTGCCTCCCCCGGGAGCCCAGCACTGCACGCCTCGCCTGGTGGCCCCGTGCCCCGAGGGCCGCACCCACGGCATCTCTATTTTTTTTGTCATGTATGCTGGAGCTATGCGGCCCACGGCCCATGTCTGCGGGCCATGGGCCACGCTTGACCGTAAACTGCCTGCAGAAAGTGAGATCCACCATTTAAGTTAGCCTGTGGTGCGGCCCGTGTCCTCCCGGCTCCTCTGTCAGAGAGCCTCGGATGGGTGCCACGCCGGGCCGGGGCTCTCCGCCGTCAGCGCCCCCCGGCTCGCATGTGAGGGCCAGCTGGCCAGTGGCACCGTCTCGTGGGCTGACCATCACCGGCCAGCTGGCCACTCGGAGCGGGAGGGCGAGACGGGCCAAGTGTGAGTGTGCACGGAGCACTGCCTGCGCCAGTGTTAGTCTTGACACACGTGCATCACTCACGCAGCACTACACTGAACACAAAAAGACACCCACACCCACCCACCCACCCTGTACATCCCATGTACATAGTTGTACAGCTATTACTTACATGCATTGATTGTTTCTTTGTTTATGTTTGAATGTTGCAGCTGAATGTCAATTGGTTGATTAGCTTAAGTAGAGATAAGCCTATCCTATACCTGGTTCTTTGTCTGTATTTATCACCTGTGTTGGTTCAGTGTACACCTGGGACAGTCCTGTGCGTCTGCTCCTTATGATGAATCTTGTATCAGTCGACCTGGGCATTGTGCTTCAATAAAAGAGGTAGAGGGAACAAAATTTGTTTCATTCTCTAACCTTTAAAGAGTTAGTGTGAGCAAGTCGAACCCTCAGTTCTTGACTCACGTAATGATCTACAAGTCAGCCACCATAAATCTTTGGTGCTCACCAAGTTTAAACTAGTGCTACTGATCTCAAGCATAAACAAGACGAGAATCAGCATTGCAAGCAGCAGGAGGCGAACAGCAAACCACAGGTGCAGTCAGCCTTTTGTTACCTGTTTTCGACTACTAGCCAATCCTCTCATGCTAACATAAACACGGCCTGGCTCTTGTCCAGGTCAGCCAGTGCCCCAGATCTACTCACATGCGCCCTACTAATGTTAACAGATTGTAGACTTTACTCTTGTTTTTATTGCTACCACAGTACGGCTGTTCTAGCCACACCCTCGACCAAGTCTACCTTCACACTTACCACGTCCACACCCACACCTCGCTCACCACACCCACACCTGTCACCCACACTTCATTCACCCACGCTCAGGCTACAGTCACCCACGCCCATACCCGTCACCCACACCTCAATCACCCACGCCCACACCTCAGTCACCCAGGTCCACACCTCAGTCACTCACACCCACACCTGTCACCCAGGTCCACACCTCAGTCACTCACACCCCAGTCACCCACACCCACACCTCAGTCACCCACACCCCAGTCACCCACACCTCAGTCACCCACACCCCAGTCACCCACACCTCAGTCACCCACACCCCAGTCACCCACACCTCATTCACCCACACCCACACCCCAGTCACCCACACCCACACCTCAGTCACCCACACCCACACCTCAGTCACCCACACCCACACCTCAGTCACCCACGCCCACACCCCAGTCACCCACACCCACACCTCAGTCACCCACACCTCAGTCGAACACACCCCACTCACCCACACCCACACCTCAGTCACCCACACCCACACCTCAGTCACCCACACCTCAGTCACCCACACCCACACCTCAGTAATCATCCTTCTGCTCTGTTTTTATCCTCGTCTATTGGCGTCACTTTCCATTTCACTGTGACCACCTAACCTAAATAGTGTCTCACTCTCGCTCTCACGCTCACTCTTACGCTCACTCTTACGCTCACTCTTACGCTCACTCGCTCTCACTCTTACTCACACTCTTACTCTTATTCTCACTTTTACTCTTAATCACACTCGCTATCACACCGCTTATGCTTCCACTCTCACTACCGCACTTCCACGCTATTCCCACTCTACACCCACCCCCACTATTCACACTTTACACCCCCCCCACTATTCCCACTCTACACCCACCCCCACTATTCCCACTCTACACCCACCCCCACTATTCCCACTCTACACCCACCCCCACTATTCCCACTCTACACCCACTCCCACTTTCCACTCTACACCCACTCCCACTTCCCACTCTATACCCACCCCCACTATTCCCACCCCTACACCCACTCCCACTATTCCCACTCTACACCCACTCCACTTTCCACTCTACACCCACTCCCACTATTCCCACTCTACACCCACTCCCACTATTCCCACTCTACACCCACTTCCACTATTTCCACTCTACACCCACTCCCACTATTCCCAGTCTATACCCACTCCCACTCTGTACCCACTCCTACTTTGTTCCCATTCCCACTCTACACCCACTCCCACTTTATTCCCACTCTACACCCACTCTCACTATTCCCACTCTCCCCGCTCACACTCCACCCTCTCTCTTGTCTTCACTCTACTCTCAACCCCACTCCATAATGCACTCAGTTTTCTTTCAGCACGCCACTATAGATTCTCCACGCCCACTCCACACATTCTACTCCACGCCCACTCCACACATTCTACTCCATGCTCACTCCACACATTCTACTCCATGCCCACTCCAACATTCTACTCCACGCCCACTCCACACATTCTGCTCCGCGCCCACTCCACACATTCTGCTCCACGCCCTCTCCACACATTCTGCTACATGCCCACTCCACACATTCTGCTTCGCGCCCACTCCACACATTCTGCTCTGCGCCCACTCCACACATTGTACTCCATGCCCACTCCATACATTCTACTCCGTGCCCACTCCATACATTCTACTCCATGCCTACTCCACACATTCTACTCCATGCTCACTCCATACATTCTACTCCGTGCCCACTCCATACATTCTACTCCATGCCCACTCCATACGTTCTACTCCGTGCCCACTCCACACATTCTACTCCATGCCCACTCCACACATTCTACTCCATGCCCACTCCATACATTCTACTCCATGCTCACTCCATACATTCTACTCCGTGCCCACTCCATGCATTCTACTCCATGCCCACTCCATACATTCTACTCCATGCCCACTCCATACATTCTACTTCGTGCCCACTCCACACATTCTACTCCAAGCCCACTCCATACATTCTACTCCGTGCCCACTCCGTACAATCTACTCCTTGCCCACTCCATGCATTCTACTCCATGCCCACTCCATGCATTCTACTCCGTGCCCACTCCATACATTCTACTCCATGCCCACTCCATACATTCTACTCCATGCCCACTCCATACATTCTACTCCGTGCCCACTCCACACATTCTACTCCATGCCCACTCCACGCATTCTACTCCATGCCCACTCACACATTCTACTCCATGCCCACTCCATACATTCTACTCCGTGCCCACTCCACACATTCTGCTCCACGCCCTCTCCACACATTCTGCTTCGCGCCCACTCCACACATTCTGCTCTGCGCCCACTCCACACATTCTACTCCATGCCCACTCCACACATTCTACTCCATGCTCACTCCATACATTCTACTCCGTGCCCACTCCATACATTCTACTCCATGCCCACTCCATACGTTCTACTCCGTGCCCACTCCACACATTCTATTCCATTCCCACCCCACACATTCTACTCCATGTCCACTCCATACATTCTACTCCATGCTCACTCCATACATTCTACTCCGTGCCCACTCCATACATTCTACTTCGTGCCCACTCCACACATTCTACTCCAAGCCCACTCCATACATTCTACTCCGTGCCCACTCCGTACATTCTACTCCGTGCCCACTCCATGCATTCTACTCCATGCCCACTCCGTGCCCACTCCATACATTCTTCTCCATGCCCACTCCATACATTCTACTCCGTGCCCACTCCACACATTCTACTCCATGCCCACTCCACACATTCTACTCCATGCCCACTCCATACATTCTACTCCGTGCCCACTCCATACATTCTGCTTCGTGCCCACTGCACACATTCTACTCCAAGCCCACTCCATACATTCTACTCCGTGCCCACTCCATACATTCTATTCCATGCCCACTCCATACATTCTACTCCGTGCCCACTCCATGCATTCTACTCCATGCCCACTCCATGCATTCTACTCCGTGCCCACTCCATACATTCTACTCCATGCCCAGTCCATACATTCTACTCCGTGCCCAATCCATACATTCTACTCCATGCCCACTCCATACATTCTACTCCACGCCTACTCCATACATTCTACTCCGTGCCCACTAAATGCATTCTACTCCGTGCCCACTCCATACATTCTACTCCATACATTCTACTCCGTGCCCACTAAATGCATTCTACTCCATGCCCACTCCAAACATTCTACTCCATGCTCACTCCATACATTCTACTCCACGCCCACTCCACACATTCTACTCCACGCCCACTCCACACATTCTACTCCACGCCCACTCCACACATTCTGCTCTATGTCCACTCCACGCATTTTACTCCACGCCCACTCCACACATTCTACTCCATGCCTACTCCACACATTCTACTCCACGCCCACTCCACACATTCTACTCCACGCCCACTCCACACATTCTACTCCACACCCACTCCATATATTCTACCGTACGCCCACCCCACACCTACTCCACACATCCACTCCACAATCTATTGATTCTAATCCGATTCCACACTTTTTACTCCCGTTCCACTTACCCCGATCCACAGTCTTCACTCCATAACCCTCCACTCCTCCACCTTCAACTCTGGTTCTCCACTCACTGCTCCCTGGACCACGCTCACAAGAAAGCAACAGAAACCCTTGCCCTAGAAAGAAAACCTCTCTCACTCCACACACACACACACACACACACACACACACACACACACACACACACACACTCACACTCACTCTCACTCTCACTCTCACTCTCACTTCACAACACACACACACACACACAAAACACCACACACACACACACACCACACACACACACACACACACACACACACACCCCACACACACACACACACCATACACACAACACACACACAACATACAACACACACACACACACAACACAACACACACAACACACACACAACACACAACACAACACACACACACAACACACACAACACACACACAACACACACAAACACACACACACAACACACACACAGCACACACACAACACACACACAACACACACACAACACAACACACACCACACACACACACAACACACACACAACACACACACACACACACCACACACACACACACACACTCACCACACACACACTACAATCACACACACAACACACACACACACACACACCACACACACACACACACACACACACACACACCACACACCACATACACACACAAAAACACACTACACACACACACACACACACAACACACACACACACACACACACACAACACACACACACCACACCACACAACACACACACACACACACAACCACACACAACACACACACACACACCACAACATCAACACACAACACACAACAACACACACAACACACACACAACCCCACACACAACACACACACACACACACCACACACAACACACACACAACACACACCAAAACACACAACACAACACACACACACACACACAACATCACACCCCACACACACACACACACACACCCACCTCACACCCCAACACAACACACACCACAACACACACACACACACACACACCACACACACACAC